TCCCACTCCTTGCGCAACCGCTGCAACGTGGCGCGGCGATGGAGTCCCACGCCTCCTTGGCCGTCGCCTTGTCCGCGAGCGGTGCGCACATCTCCGGTGGTACTCCGGCGATGATGGCCTGGAGCGCGCGCCGGTCGTCGTGGTACGGGAGGTCGCCGTACTCGATGGCGTCCCAGAGCTGGCGCGCCTGCATCTTCACCTTCATGAGCAGGCTCCAGTCGTGGTAGTTGGTCTTGTCAGCATCGGCCATGTCCCCTTGCCGGAGTCCTTGCCGTCTGGACGGCCGCAGGTGACCCGCGATGGCCTCCACGTCCGCGCGGTGCTCCGGCGACGGTGAAGGGATCCGGCGGCGCACTGGGCTCCGCGACGGCTCCCTGGGCTGCTGCTCCAACTCCGCACCATGTTCATGTTCGAGCCACAGTTCCTATGTCGATTCTTTGTCAAATCAAACATTCAAACCTGGTCTAGATTCTAACACCATGTTCATGTTCGATCCACAGTTCCTATGTTCCCACTAAAAATAGGTTCAAGGGCACGTAGATGTTGGGATGATTGAATGCATATTATTAATTATCATGACATGCCTTGTTGATATCCTCTGTACTGTACCATGACATACTATCTCTTGACTTTTGACACCAATTATGGTATTTAAATTTAGGTTTTTGTGGGAACTCGTTAAGTTTTATGTTTTTTTCCTTCTTTTGCACTAGGACTTGCACACAATTTGGAAATTTTGTGGTTGTTGTGTTTGTTGTGTTGCAAGTAAGTAGCTAGACAAGTGGAATTTTCCTGCCAGAGGGCAGCTTGGCACTTAGGCTGCTTGATTGCATTATATAGGAGTAGCAAACTTGGGATACAAGAAGGTGCTCTACCTACTACAGCATATACCAGCTGCTACCTTGGATGCTAAGGCATGTGAAAACAGCTAGTCAGTAAACAGTAACTATCTAAGACAGTGAATAGTAAATAGCTTAGGTAAACTAGATACATTGGGTAAGCACTAGGCTAATCCATCATGTTGTTCTCATAAATCCACAGGTCTCATGCAAATAGGTCCCATCAAATTTAATTGCGTCAATGAGTGAATTGTTCAATAAAAATGCAAGGACTTTTTGTAAGTTCCAGTGGTAGCCATATTTTTTTGTCAAATCAGGCATCCAAACCTGAGCTAGATTCTGACACCCACGTCCATGTTCGGGTTACAGTTCCTGTGTTCCTGCCAAAAGTGAGGTTCAAAGTTACCTATATGTTGGGATGATTGAATGAGTCATACCATATTTATTATGCCATGCCTTGTTGATATCCTTTCTGTGCTGTACCATGGCATATATCCCTTGTCTTTTGACACCAATCACGGTAATTTAGTTTAGGTTTTTGTGGGCACTCGTTTCTTTTTTCTTTTTTGGCACTAGGACTTGCATACAATTTGGACAATTTGAGGTTGTTGTGCTGGGTCGGCACCCCCTTGGTGACGCGCCGTGTCGCGATCTGGGCATGGTGTCAAGTGAGCAAGGATCGGGTCGTCGTTTCCTTAGTGACGCGCTACATCGGCGCCCGGGTGTAGTGAAAAATGAGCAAGGGTCTTCACATCTGAGTCAACGGGTGCGAAGGGTAAGGAAGCTAGTCGAACCAACTAGGATCCTTTTAGATAGTTGGAATGTAGGGTCACTTACAGGTAAGTTAAGAGAATTAGTTGATACCACGACTAGGAGGCGTGTAAATATATTATGCGTTCAAGAGACTAAATGGAAGGGTCAGAAGGTGAAGGAGGTGGGCAATACAGGTTTCAAGCTTTGGTACACAGGGACAATCGCGAATAGAAATGGAGTAGAAGTTTTGATTGATAAGAGCCTCAAGAATGGTGTGGTGGGAGTAAGAAGGTAAGGAGATAGGATTATCTTAGTCAAGATTGTCGTTGGTGATATGGTCTTGAACGTAATTAGTGCGTATGCCCCCCATGTAGGCCTCGACGAGAGTGCTAAGAGACAGTTTTGGAAAGACTTAGATGGCCTGATTAGAGCTGTACCTAGTAGTGAGAAGCTTTTTATAGGAGATCTTAATGGGCATGTAGGTACTACAAGCGCAGGTTTTGAGACAATTCATGGAGGTTTTGAGTATGGTAGTAGGAATCAGGAGAGGGAGGAAGTTCTGGACTTCGCGGTAGCTTTTGACCTGATGATAGCCAACACTTTCTTTAGAAAGAGAGAATCTCATCTAGTGACCTTCAGTAACGGACAATACTCTAGTCAGATTGACTTTGTTCTCGCAAGAAGAAAGGACAAACGAGCATGCTTGGGTTGCAAGGTGATACCAGGGGAGTGTTGTTTCTCAACATAAGCTTTTGATGGCAGACTTTTGTTTTTAGGTGCGTGTCCATAGGGATAAACAAGTTAAGATTGAAAGAACAAAGTGGTGGAAACTGAAAGGGGAGACGCCAGAGGTATTCAGCGAAAGGGTTATCAAAGAGGGCTCTTGGAAGGAAGAAGAGGACATAAACAACATGTGGGAGAAGATGACAATCAATATTCGGAAGGTGGCCTCAGAGGTGTGTGAAGTAACCAAAGGAAGTGGAGGCGAGGCTAAAGATACTTGGTGGTGGAACGAGAAAGTCCAAAGAGCTATTAAGGAGAAGAAAGAATGCTATAGACGTTTGTACCATGACAAGAGCGTGGACAACATAGAGAAGTACAAGATGGCAAAGAAGACTGTAAAGCGAGCTGTAAGTGTGGCAAAGGGTAGAGCGTACGAGGATCTTTACCAACATTTGAATATGAAGGAAGAAGAGAAGGATATTTATAAGATGACTAGGGTTCGTGAGAGAAAGACAAGGGACTTCAACAAAGTTAAGTGCATTAAGGATGAAAGAGAGCATCTTTTGGTGAAGGAGGATGAGATCCGACATCGATGGCAAGAGTATTTTGATAAATTGTTCAATGGTAAGAATACGGACACAATCTTTCAGTTGGATGACTCTTTTGATGACACCAATAGGCGCTTTGTGCGGAGAATCCAAAAATTTGAGGTCAGAGAGGCATTGAAAAGGATGAAAGGAGGTAAGACGATGGGACCGGATGGTATCCCAATCGAGGTGTGGAGATGTCTCGGGGACATAGCTATAGTATGGCTAACCAAGCTGTTCAACCATATTTTTCGATCGAACAAGATGTCTGACGAGTGGAGGAGAAGTATATTGGTACCGATCTACAAGAATAAAGGGGATATTCAAAGTTGTACTAATTACCGGAGAATTAAGTTGATGAGCCATACTATGAAGCTATGGGAGAGAGTTATCGAGCATCGCTTGAGAGCAATAACGCGGGTCTTTATGAACCAATTTGGTTTCGTGCCTGGAAGGTCAGCCATGGAAGCCATTTTCTTAATAAGACAAGTTATGGAGCGGTATAGGAAGAAAAAAGACATACACATGGTTTTTATTGACTTGGAGAAGGCTTATGATAAAATACCAATGAATGTTATGTGGTGGGCTTTGGACAAACATAAAGTCCCAATAAATTACGTCGGGCTCATTAAGGATATGTATAACAATGTTGTGACTAGTGTTCGAACAAGTGATGGAGACACGGATGACTTCCCGATTAGGATAGGACTACATCAAGGGTCAGCTTTGAGCCCTTATTTGTTTGCCTTAGTGATGGATGATGTCACAAGGGACATACAAGGGTACATCCCTTGGTGTATGCTTTTCGCGAACGATGTAGTGCTAGTTGATAAAAGCCGGACAAGAGTGAATCAGAAACTGGAGTTATGATGGGAGACTTTGGAGTCCAAAGATTTTAGACTCAGTAGAACTAAAACTGAGTATATGAGATGTGACTTCGGCACTACTGCTCGGGAGGAGGAAGATATTAGTTTGGAAGGTCAAGTAGTGCCTAGGAAGGATACCTTTCGATATTTAGGATCAATGCTACAGAGAGACGGGGATATTGATGAAGATGTTAGCCATAAAATCAAAGCAGGGTGGATGAAATGGCGCAAAACATCTTGTGTCCTATGTGACAAAAGGGTACCACAGAAGCTAAAAGACAAGTTTTATAGGATGACGATTAGACCTGCTATGTTGTATGGTGCAGAATGTTGGCCTACGAAAAGACGACATGTTCAACAGATAAGTGTCGCGGAAATGTGTATGTTGCGTTGGATTTGCGGTCATACAAGAAGGGATCGAGTTCGGAATGATGATATACGTGATGGATTAGGGGTAGCACCAATTGAAGAAAAGTTTGTCCAACACCGGTTGAGATGGTTTGGACATGTCCAACGGAGACCTTCAGAGGCACCGGTGCGTAGTGGAATCCTAAGCCAGGATAGTAACGTGAAGAGAGGCAGAGGAAGACCGAAGCTGACTTGGGTAGAGGCAATAAAAGGAGACTTGAAAGGATGGAATATATCCAAAGACTTAGCCTTAGATACGAGTGCTTGGAAAACAGCTATTCACGTGCCTGAACCTTGATTGCTTCTGCTGGGTTTCAACTCTAGCCTACCCCATTTTGTTTGGGACTTAAAGGCTTTGTTGTTGTTGTTGCTGTTGTTGTTGTGCTGGCTGTTGTCATAAATCCACACGCCTCGTGCATATAGTCTCACCAAACTTTATTTGCGTCAATGAATGGATTGTTCAATAAAATGCCAGGACTTTTTGTAAGTTCCAGTTGTAATTATTTCAAATTATTAAGTTGCCTGCGATCTTTTGATGCACGCTAACACTATTATGGATGGCACAGTTACCTTTTCCATTTTTGCTCTCATGTGGCCAACAAAATCAGACCTGTCTGTACATGACCGTGTCTTACACCACACAATAAAAGCATAAGCATGTAAATGAGAGCACTATCTTTTTTTAGCAACAGGACAGTAGAGCCTTACTATTACAAGGAGAAAATAATTTTGTTGTTTACTTGTTGCTCTCTAGTTTTTTCTTTCATTGTTTGATCTGGAGTTGACTGGAGTTTTTTTGAGCTTGCGTTACTATGTTGGTACAGCTATCCACTTATGTACAGAGATGTGAGGTCTGCGGTTGACTTGTGTCATCGTGATGGAACTTTAAAGCGCATGGTGGCGAAGGATCCTGCCAGGTAACTCAGTTTCCTATTTCATGGTTAACTATTTAATACCAGTCACCTGACACAATTCAGTGCTAGATATTATTCATAAAGACATACTTACTTTTGCTATAGGTCTGCTTTGGTTTTTATTTTGGTCCACATGCAAATTGGCATCCATGTGTTATTTCCACTTTTATGTTCTAGAGGATCCTGCTAATTATGTCATTTCCACTTTTACAGTGCTATATTCTTGTGCTTATAATTATGTTATAGAAAATCCTGCTAATTTGTGTAATTTGAACATTGCAGGTACATCAATGAGGACTTGGCAATTGTACCAATGCTTGAAATGATCAGGAAATCTGGACGCTCAACATTCTTAGTGACGAATAGGTATGTGGCCGGTGGTGCCTTTATAATTTTAGGCTTCTTGAGACTTGTGTGATGACATATTTCTGTAATGTGTCCTTTCTAGTTTCTCCTAAAACGTACCCATCTGTTAAAACTAAGGTTTTTCATCTTGATGCATTCTGCATTTTCGAGCTTCTTGTTACAATCTATTTACTATTTAGACAAGTACTCATTCATGCAGTTTGTGGGACTACACCGATGTTGTCATGAACTACCTTTGTGGGCCATACACTTCAGATGTAGGCTCTGGTCTCAACCACAACTGGCTTCAATATTTTGATATTGTAATAACAGGCAGGTTAGTGTCTTATGTTCCCTGGTTCTTGATTCTTTTGTTGCTATTTATTATTAGTGAAAGTATCAGCTCCCTCAACTTAGTAGCCAGTCCTCAATGAACTTTCTTTCAGTTCGAAGCCAAGTTTCTTCCATGATGATAACCGTGCAGGCCTCTTTGAAGTTGAGCCTGATTCTGGAAAACTTCTGAATGCTGATATTCAGGCTAGTAAATTTGTCAATTCTAATCTATCTTCATGGCATATGTTTTTCCCTAATATATGCAATCCTTCGTGAAGATCGGAAGCCCAAGATCAAGTCATCAACACTCAACACCAGTTCAGAAAGTTTACCAGGTACTTATTTTCCTGATATATAATGTAAATGCAACTTTCTACCATTGCTATATCCTATTTATTGCTATATCCTTTCCAGGGAGGCAATGTTGGTCATCTCCACAGATTACTTTCTGTTGCTTCTAGTTCACAGGTATGGGCTATACACTTAGCAGAGATTCACTAGCACTAAATTGCACATGTGAATGGACGGACATCCAAATCCAATTAGAGGCTATTGGATCCAATGGCTTTAGTCCAATATCCTTTGCCCATGTCTGCAGCAACCCCAAGCGCGGGGTAGCTAGCCTGGGTGCTTCACCACAGTTCCGACCAACTTCGAGTGGGCATACCCAGCCAACAGGTTCCTGCCGAGTGGTTTGCAGTGCATCCGCTGCCGTTCCTGCTGGCACAGCTGTTGCTCATGCGAAGAAGGCCACGGCGCAGGACTAGCAGAGCCGGACGCAAGACCTGCGCAGCTGCGCCACTGCCGTTGCCGCCACCTCCACCGTGACCAGTTTCCTGCTACCAAGTATAAGTCCAATAGAATTTGAATTGTCCATTTTTTTATCCTACAGAATCCAAAGCTATTGGATCCATACAGAAGTGCTGAAATCCCATTGGATATTGGACTAAAGCCAATCCAATACTCTACACTGAATGTATTTGAGCGTATGAACAAACATAATATTTCCTTATCTTACAATTTTGTAGATTCTCTATGTTGGTGATCACATATATGGAGATATTCTGCGGAGCAAGAAAGTTCTAGGTATGTTTTATTTATCCTCTACTCGTTAGTTGTATTGTGATCTGATATAAATCTATGATTAAGCATGGCAGTTTTAATTGTGCAGACAACTTTTAATGTTGCCCCCATTTCATTAAGAATACTAGCCCACACCTAATCATAGACACACATATAATATAACATATATGGATGCTGGATGATTGTATGGAGGCTTCATGGCCAGAAAAAATAATCCTGTGCCCTCAGTTAGGGCACTGCAGTCTGTCTGAGACAGAGCGGCGCAGCAGCCTGCGCAGTTGACCTATACGAGCGATTGCGGCGGGGACGCTGAGCCACTCTCTTAGCATTCAGCAGCTCTAGCTCCACTAACGCTGCTCGCTGCCGGCCATGAAGCCTGAGGTGGAGGCGGCTCCTCATGCCAGAAACAGAAAGAGGAGGTCGGAGGCACCTGACACCGACGGCTAGCAATCGGAGGAGATGGGAAGCATCTCGCCACTCTTGGTGATGACAGATGTGCTTGACTCCAAACCTTTCGGGACAGGAGGGCATAGATCTCGGAGTCGCCAAGAAGCACCACCGTATGGAGGTGAAGGAGCTGGGAGACGACAGCAAGGAAAGGGCGTTGATTACATCAGCGCCCTCCCCGACGGCGTTCTCGGTGACATCATCTCCCTCCTGCCCACCGAGGACGCCGGTCGAGTCCCAACCCTAGCCAAACGATGGAAGCACCTATGGCGCTCTACCTTGCTCAACCTCGATTGCCACGACCTCCGTGGCTTCCTCGTAGACGACGATGCTCTCGCTCTGCCATCTCCCAGATCCTCTCCAGTCCGGCCGTTGCATCTGCGTCAGCACGGGTCTCCTCAATTCTCGTCCCGACACCGCCACCGGCACCGTGGACGCTTGGCTCCAGTCCCCTGCCCTAGACAATCTCGAGGAGCTCTGCATCTCATCCTACCTAATGGATGGACCATGGTTCCTGCCACTTCCAACGCTGCCAGCGCCCATTTTCCGCTTCGCGCCCAGCCTCGGCGTCGCCTCTCTCACTGACTGCAGCCGTCCAGACACTCCACTTCCCCAAGCTAAAGAAGCTCGCACTTGAACATGTCAGCATTTCGGAGGGCTCATTGCACAGAGTGCTTGCCAGCTGCCCTATCCTCGAGTGCCTGCTGCTTGTCCACAGTTTCGGCTTCCATCAAGTCCGCATCAATTCTTCCAGCCTCAGAAGCACTGGCGTGTGATGCTTGTGAAATAATCATTAAGGAAACCCTAGATTGGCGCCGATCCATCCAAATGCACACATGGACGCCATTGCACTGTGTCAGATGTAAAGCATGTAACATAACACAAACACAAAAGGTGAACGTGTGTCACACACACACAATCACACTCACACTACCCTTTTTCAAGTCTCTATCTATACCCCCACCGCCCACATCAAGGGAGAACTGGAAACTGATCCTCACCCACCTCACGCTCCATTACCCGCGCGCTCCCTCCGCCATGGCCTCCTTGGCCAGCGTCCCTATAGAGATCCTCGTCCTCATATTCATCTACCTGCAGTGCTTTGTCGACCTCACGAGCGTTGCGGGCATCTGCAAAGACTGGCGCAACGCCGTGCACGTGACAACAAGTACTTTAACAGGTTCATCATCATAGCATCTAACCAGTTAAGCACAAGCAAAAAAAACTCAAGTGACATCATGAGAAAAGGAACAAGCAAATTCAGGAAGATTCGATACAAGAGTGCCTATGATGTATGTTGTGTTCACTGTTCCTCAAGAGCACCAGGGCCTTCTTAGTCCCAAGGTTGAGCTAGACGAGCCCAATCCTCTCCATCCAGAAGTTCCACTCCTCTCCCCAAACAAATAGAACCGGATTGCCTGGTATGCGGCCAGTCAATGTCCCTCGTTCGGATCACCTCCTGTCGACACCAACTGTCGGCACAAGCGTCCACGTTGATATCGCAAGTGCCTCCGCAACAACTAAGCTTAGCCGCCTTTCCCCTTGCGTTGTGGCAGCAGCCCCAGCCCTAGCCAAGCGATGCCGGTGACATCATCTCCCTCCTGCCCACCAAGAACGCCGGTCGCGTCCCAACCCTACCCAAACGATGGAAGCACCTATGGCGCTCCGCCTTGCTCAACCTCGACTGCCATGACCTCCCTGGATTCCCCGCAGACGACGACTCTCTCGCCGCCGCCATCTCCTAGATCCTCTCCAATCTCCAGTCTCTAGCAAATCCCTATTCCTCTCTCTAGTCTCTATCTATACCCCCACCGCCCACGCCAAGGAAGAGAGAACTGGAAACTGATGCCAACCCACCTCACGCTCCATTGCTCGCGCGCTCCCTCCGCCATGGCCTCCTTGGCCAGCGTTCCTGCAGAAATCCTCATCCTCATCTTCACCTACCTGCAGTGCTTCGCCGGCCTCACGAGCATTGTGGGCGTCTGCAAAGACTGGCGCAACACCGTGCACGTGCCAACAAGTACTTGGAACAAGCAAAATTAGGAAGATCCGATACATCTAAGAACAAATATCAGGTTAGTCACATACAAGAGTGCCTGTGAAGTATCGCTCTTGTGTTCACTGTTCCTCAAGAGCACTAGGGCCTTCTTAATCCCAAGGTTGAGGTGGACGAGCCCAATCCTCTCCATCCAGATGTTCCACTCCTCTCCCCAAACACACCGAACCGGATTGGCTGGTATGCGTTGAGAACACTGACAAGCGCAGATTTGATCAGAATGTTTAAGAAACGACGGTCATGATCCATTCAATCCTTTAATTTCTACCACCTTGAGATTAGTCAATGAGATGTCGATTTCTCCTGATGTTCTCCATGTAATGGCCATATTCTTTCTTAGTTGAGCAAATGCCACGCTCCTACAGAAGTCAATAAAGTACACCACATTAGCTACCGATGTTTAGTATTAGCTAGCTAGAGAACTTAGCTAAGGTGTATGAAGTGAAGTTATATACACTGACTTGAGGAAGGAAGAGCTGGAGCTTTTGTATGACATTCAGAGTCTTGAGCAGCTCCAACACAAGTGTTCCAAAAGCTAAAGCACACCGGTCCTCCATTCGGAGATGAAGCATAAAAGTAGAAAAATTGTTTACTGGAAGGCCGTATTATTTCTTCCGTAAAGCTCCGTCTTGCTTCTGCAGACGTATCCTGCTAAACAATGTGATTAGCATATGTTGTGCAAATAGAAATGACAAAATTCGTTGAAGGTTGGGAAATTAAATTGTGCAGTAGATCAACGCACGTACATAGCATCACCATGCATAGCACACGAATGCGTAAGCCGTCAGGATTATTGAGCTCTGTGTATTTGCTGCTCCACTCCATGGAGGTGGACAAACTCAAAAGGTGCAAATCGAAACCAAATCCAATGAAACGAGACAATGTGGAGAAATACGAGAACAAGAGTGAATCGACCGTGGGTGCCTCGAACAACGTGATCAAGTCATGATTCCCACTAGATTGCAGCCTAAATTTGTTGAGCTCGGCTGCTTGGACGTTGAGACGCTGTGGCGTGACATCTACAACAGGAACAGGCACGACCCTCTACATGATCTCCTTGAGCGACCCTGAGCTAATCACAAACACAAAAGGTGAACGTGTGTCACACACACACACTACCCTTTTTCAAGTCTCTATCTATACCCCCACCGACCACACCGAGGAAGGGAGAACTGGAAACTGATGCCAACCCACCTCACGCTCCATTGCTCGCGCGCTCCCTCCGCCATGGCCTCCTTGGCCAGCGTCCCTGCAGAGATCCTCGTCCTAATCTTCACCTACCTGCAGTGCTTCGCCGACCTCACGAGCTTTGCGGGCGTATGTAAGGACTGGCGCAATGCCTTGCACGTGCCAACAAGTACTTGGAACAAGCAAATTCAGGAAGATCCGATACATCTAAGAACATATATCAGGTTAGTCTCATACAGGAGTGCCTGTTCCTGAAGAGCACTAGGGCCTTCTTAGTCCCAAGGTTGAGGTGGACGAGCCCAATCCTCTCCGTCCAGATGTTCCACTCCTCTCCCCAAACACACCGAACCGGATTGGCTAGTATGCGTTGAACCCCCTTGGATAGTTCAATCCGCAATATCTTTAGCATTGGCGCAGATTTGATCAGAATGTTTAAGAAACCAAGGTCATGATCCATTCAATCCTTTGATTTCCACCACCTCGAGATTAGTTAATGAGATGTGTCGATTTCTCCTAATGTCCTCCATGTAATGGCCATATTCTTTCTTAGTTGAGCAAATGCCACGCTCCTACAGAAGAGTCAATAAAGTACACCACATTAGCTACCGATGTTTAGTATTAGCTAGCTAGAGAACTTAGCTAAGGTGTATGAAGTGAAGTTATATACACTGACTTGAGGAAGGAAGAGCTGGAGCTTTTGTATGACATTCAGAGTCTTGAGCAGCTCCAACACAAGTGTTCCAAAAGCTAAAGCACACCGGTCCTCCATTCGGAGATGAAGCATAAAAGTAGAAAAATTGTTTACTGGAAGGCCGTATTATTTCTTCCGTAAAGCTCCGTCTTGCTTCTACAGACGTACCCTGCTAAACAATGTGATTAGCATATGTTGTGCAAATAGAAATGACAAAATTCCTGGAAGGTTGGGAAATTAAATTGTGCAGTAGATCAATGCACGTACATAGCCGCTGGCAGCACACGGATGCGTAAGCCGACAGGATTATTGACCTCTGTGTATTTGCTGCTCCAATCCATGGAGGTGGACAAACTCATAAGGTGCAAATCGAAACCAAATCCAATGAAACGAGACAATGCGGAGAAATACGAGAACAAGAGCGAATCGACCGTGGGCACCTCGAACGACGTGATCATGTCACGGTTCCCACAGGATTGCAGCATGAATTTGTTGAGCTCGACTGCTTGGACGTTGAGACGCTGTGGCGTGACATCCACAACAGGAACATGCACGACCCTCAACATGATCTCTTTGAGCGACCCCGAGCTAATAACACAAACACAAAAGGTGAACGTGTGT